AGTTTTTCTATATACTCAAGTCTCCAAGGAAGCAAGATTGAATGATAACTCAATCTAAAACTAGGTTTTCTTATTTGTCTCTATTCAATAGTTTATCTATTATAATTATTTGATATGAATTTGATGTTGAATATCAATTTGATTATGTTTGCCCTAACCGTGAGTGAGTAGTCCATTAGAGATTGAGGTTATGGGAATTATCTTATAACCTTTTGTATGAGCTGTCACAATCTATTACGAGAATTTTAGTTTAAACTTATTTTATAATTCGAGTTCATGCATTCCAACTCCGTTACAAAAGTAATGTATTCTCAAGTATCGACCGTAGTCTGAAAGGATATGTGTCGATACCAGAGCGTAAATTTTTAAACAACCGAGTCTAATACAGTGAAATCACATGGACAAATATGAGAAAACTATATAGCTGACAAAAGTAATGAGTCGTCGACGAATATTCTAGCCGTGCGAAAACATATGAGTTATTCGTTGTTGATATGGCAATGCGCTGGTGAAAGTAGATATTACCCATATTTATCTATTTTCTATAATTTATGCAGAACTCTATATAAGTGACATGAATCGTGCGATTGTGTTAGAGTGAGAACGATAAGTCTAGGTCCTGTTTGTCTCAATTGGAATTTAAGTGATTTTACAAATAAGCTGTTTACATTTAAGTGCTTTTTTTATTTAAGTTGTTTTACCAAAATTCATATTTTCGATTTCTCTATATATACACTGATAGGACGAAATTATGTACTTAAGTCATTGGTCTCTGTAGTTTGATATCTTTTATTACTTGCACAACCGTGCACTTGCGGCTGCATCAAATAGCAACAACAATAATACCATACTTTTTGCCAATGGACTGTGTCAATGCTAACACGTTATCTCAGAAGGGAAATACATGTCATTTACAACATATACAAAATAAATTATCAATGTCAGAGATATTAAAAGCCTATTAAGTATTGAACAAGTTAAAAATAAAATATGGAAGTAAAACACACAACGGTAGTGATGAAAAACTGTGTAAAATCTATAAGAAAGTCATCTGTATCTTGACCACACAAATGAAACATTTTAAACTATCGAAATTTTTACACTATGCAAAAAATACGGTATACCGGATTTTTAAAAATATCCACAAATTTTTTTTTTTATCTATATCAAATTTTTCAAAATATTCTATAAGAGCAGTATGTTTCTCCAAAAATACTGGTTTTTTCAAAAAAAATCTAATATTAATATACTAGGTTTTTTTAAATATGCAGTAAAAATATAATAAAATTTTAAAAAATACTGGATTTTTTGAAAATATGCAGTTAAAATGCAATAAAATTTCGTTTTTTTAATATGTCGGTAAAAATATAAAAAAAACTTTTTAGAAAAATTGATGAAAATTCATATCGTTTTTTAAAATATCCTATAAAATTGCACACATTACTCCTGTTTCAAAAATTTTCGTACTCGATTTTTTGCAACTACCAAATTTTTTATTTTTTTACCAATCCTCAAAAGTGAAATTTTTTGACCAAATATAAAATTTATAAAGGTAAATAATGGAAAAGATATTTTTTCACTATAAAAACATGAAGCATGAGGCGGTACCAGATTAAATTTGAGATTGGCAGAATACATTCTCCATCACAAAATCACAACTTAAAATATAAGAAACAAATGAAAAAAAATCCATATTTTAACTTTTATGTATTAGACAAATGATATATAATATTTATATTAAGGATAATTCTAATTTATGTCTAAGGGCATAGGTAAAAAATCCCATAAATAAAAAGTTTGTGTAAAAAAATTAATTATCAACTTTTAATAAAACTAATTCACAAATTTCAATAATTTTTTTTTTTATATTTAACTCTTAACTTATATCTTTAGGTCACATGTTAATATTACATTTATATTAATTATAAAATAAATTAGAAATATCAGTTCTATTTTAAACAATATATTATTAATATATTAACAATTTTTAAAACTTAAATGCTATTAAGATAGTTTACTCTTTAAAATATTTTATTTTCAAATATTGATATTGATAAAATGAAAAAATAATGAATTATTCAATATAATTATCTTTTAATTGTTATTAGTATCTCAAATAATAAATATTAATATATATATTTTTTGTGAGATAAATTATATTTATTTAATTTATGATGAATTTTCATAAAAATATGTTATAACTTAAATATAAAAGAAGAACACAAAAATGAATTTATAGACAAAATAAAATTTAGCCTCATTGAGTCGTTGTTAATAGTGCACCAGTTTTTTGAATCCGGGTTGTGCAGACCCATTTCAGCATCGTTTACACACTCTCCATTTCCTCTTCCTACTCGCGCCAGGTTCCTTTGATTTCGAATCCCCCAAAGGTAATTCATTTGCAAAACCCTAATTTCTTTGCTGCTACGTTCATATTTTCATTCATGGTGAAATCGGATTCTTGCTTTACCGTCATTTTGTGCTTTGCTTTTAACTTTCTGCTTGGGAAAATATTAGTGTTAGGATACAATTTAGAATACATTGTTGTCAAATAACGACTATATTGGCATGATAGCATTGATGTGTAGAGGAATTTGAACAAACCACAGTTTTCTGCAAACTTCGATCCACAAAATCGCTAAATTGTATTAGTGTCTTAATCTGAAAAACGGAAGATATGAGTATCATGCACTTATGTTAAGGTTTAGGGTTTTAGGGTTTAGGGGATGGCAATTTGGGTTTCCTCTGTGTTGTTGGCTTCGGGACTAGATTTGTTGAAGGGAAGTTTTTGTGTTTTTATGTGCTTTATTGACTGTCTCTCTGATGGAGAGTGGTTTTTTGAAGCTCTGTTGGTCATGCTGCGATTAGCTTTGTTACTATAAGATGCTGTGGTGCTATTCATCACATAGCTCTATCACAAGGTTGTAGGCTTGGGGTGCTAGTAGTAGTAGCAGTGGGAATCAATGTTGGTTTTTTGATTTGTTTCATACTTCTCTTTTTCATCGCTGTCTGCGGTGCTGCATTATGGTGAAGTATATTGGTGGTTGTTTTTGTTGATAATCAGGGTTGTGTTGGAGGAAAATAGCTTGCAGTGTCAGCTTTTTATGATAAGAGCAAAGTGTGGTACTCGGTCTTGTAAATCAATTAGGTTATTTGGGTCTTTGAAGGGTTGGAATCACTTGAATCTCGATCCTTCCAGATTTTAATTTAAGCTTGCTGAAATCACTTGCTCTCTATTAATCTAAGATAAAACATCGGCATAAGCAGTTTCATTCATATCTTCCAGATGTTTGCATTGAGATTAGTGAAAAGAGTAGTACTGTTACATATATAAAATATAATTACCTGCTAATACCATATTCTTTTTGCTGGTTTGTTTAATCTAAATAGATATCTTAAAAGTTAAATCATGCTTTGTGTCAAGTTTAAAGATATCATCTTCCATATATAGAATTAATTGTATATGTATTTACTTGACTTGATATTAATGTATCATGCTTTAACAAATAAGAAGTTTATTTAATGGTAGGTATTTTTGTATATATATAAGGAGATTTTCATTTCAACTGGTATTTCTTTTGTATTTTAACTATTGGTTAATATTGAGTTTAGAAAGGTTGATGTATTTAAATTAGTATATACACACCACCGGTTGATTAATTTCATTCAACTTGATGTGATGCAATTGTTTTTAGAGAGTTACATATATGTGCATGCTTGATACTTGTGAATTGAGAGGCTATGAGGGTGGATTGAACAAAAGAAAATATTTGTACTCAAGTTATTTGCTGGTTGTCTTGTGAGTCTTGATCAGTTGCCTTTAGCATCTAGTTATGAATTATAGCTATATTGTTAAAGTCGTCTGCATTTAAAATTTACTTTGAGTTGCATAGTTTTCTTTTTTGGCATTACTTCATTCCTTATTTTTGGTTTTAATGTGCTTACAAAATACTTGTGGACTGAGAGGCTATGAGGGTGTATTGAACGGAAGAGAATATTTTTCCTCGAGTTATTTGCTGATTGTCTTGCGAGTCTTGATCAGTTGGTTGCCTTAAGCGTCTAGTTATGAATTATAGCAATATTAAAGTCGTGTGCATTTAAAATATACTTCGAGTTGCATAGTTTTCTTTTTTTGATATTACTCAATTCCATCTGCGTGTTACTGGATAGAGTATTAGTTTCTTGTGATTTCTTTACACAATATTTCCAGTACATCTCTGAAGATTTTGTTGCATGTCATTTGCACATGCATCCGCGTCCGCTTTGGCCTTGTGTCAGAAACAAGGTTAATTGGAGTCGCATGAAACTCAACTAAGCTCCCGTGAAAAGAAAAGGCTACCTGGAAAGACGAAGCCAAAGTTGGTCGTTGGCTGCCAAAAACAATAAGTAATTCCTCCAGGTTTTCCTTTAAACATTTTACGAATGGGATTCCAGCGCAATTTGCTGCCGTGATCGCAGCCCCTACAAAAGGCAACACTGCAGCAGAGCACAGCTCCAGTCTGCACCACATTCTGCAATTGCACACTAAATCTCCGCGATTCACAACATAGAGTTTCCTGTTGTGAGGCCTATTTTAGTCGATATTTTGAATTAAAATTGGCATGAATATTCATATGGTTTTTGAGTTGGTTTTCATACTCTTGAGGCTGCCAATTTGTTTTAGGCTCTTTCAAGATGTGAAGTGCTTTTGTGCTGCTGTTTTTGTCTGAGTGAGGTGTTTTTGTTTGTGTGTTAGTTATGTCTTTAAGCCTATGTTTGGTAACACGGTGGGCCACTGCTGCCGCGTTTTACCGTGATTTTGAAAAGTTGGTATGTGTGTAGCTTCGGTCCCACTGTGATTTTCAAGTTTTCCAAACACACACTAAGTAGTGATTCATAAATTAAATTTTGCAATCTCTTTTTCTCATATGCTCCAGTGAAGTACCCCATTTTGGTTTGATTTTCCGATGTTAAATTTTATAATTTTGAATTTGATTGATTTTTGTGTTTGTATAGGAAGAATGAGGCCTACAGACTTGCTTAGGGTTCTGAACAAACAGTTTCTTGGACTTGCTGGTGACACTGCAAATGTTGTTGCTAAGAAGCTGACGTCGCCTCCTCCTCTTCTTGTGTCCCGCAAACCAGCATTTATAGATGCATTTCTGTACAAGATGAAAAAGAATCCAGAACTTCTGAAGAATAAATCCATTTGGTCACGGAGATCCACTATCTTACCAGAATTCGTTGATTCCCAAGTCAAGATTTACAATGGGAAAACCATGATTCGTTGTAAGATCACCGAGGGAAAAGTCGGTCATAAGTTTGGCGAGTTTGCTCTTACCAGGAAACGCAAATCTAGAGACCAACCTAATGCCAAAGTGAAACAACTCAAGAAAAAGAAGTGAGTTTCTTTCTTTAGGAAATCGATTTTATGAATGCTTTATACTCTGCAGTTACTTACACATCAATGTCAACAATAAGGATATAATGAAATTTGACAAGTTTGCTGTTGAATCAACTGGCTTCTCGACTATATGATCTCTTCATTTTTGTTGTTATAAATTCTAATTTAACAATTTATCGATTTATAGTTAAGAGGATATGAGTTTTCCAGTTATTTGTTTATGTTTAATGTCCCGCAACTGCACAGGTATGTTATGTTATCTGTTTTCAGTTGATATATGTATTGTTGCAAGATTGTTACACTAGTCGATGAAATTAACCATGTAATTGATCGAACATGCTTGTTGAATTTTATTGATGTATTCTTGCCTGTTATCGCTGTTCTACTTCCGCAAACCATAAACCTTCAAAATTTTACTATAATTTTTAGTGTGTTGGAGCTTTAACAAAGAAGAAATTCCAACTCATAAAGTACATATTCAGAAACCTATCCATATTATCCTCAAATGAATTGTGCTGCCTTGAATGGTACTTTTATATTAAATAATAGGCATTTGTTCTTCACAATTCAAGTCAAAGTAGTTTGTATTTCTAGCTTAGTTTTTTTTTTTCCTCATGAAAATATATATTTTAAAACGAAATAGTAATAATTATTAAAAACTCTCACACATATAATCTTGAATACTAAGATTTAAATTTTGCCAATAAGTTCTAATCTAGCACTATCAACTTCTAGAATTTGTAGATGCATTAAAACAACTCTAATGGATTCTAAAGTAATTTCTTTGAACCTATTATAGAGAAAGAAAACTTTTTATAAATTTAAGTAACTAATATATTTAATTTAAATGTGAAAAATTACTAATTATTCGATGAAGTTAACACATATTTATTTAATATGATAAAGATCCGTATTTTAAAATTCAACCCGGACAAATTAGATTGAGAATAGGAGAGTATGGCGGTTCAGTAGTGTAATAAAATAATAGGTGAAAACTGATATAATCCAATCGATTAATTGGTTAAATAAGTGAACATGTGAATTTTTTGAATTGGCGAATTCATATTTTCAGATTTACTTTTTTAACTCGTCAAAACATTTTTGATTGTCAGTAAAAAAATCTAAAATTGAAAGAATTTTTCCCCCCTCACTCACATATAGAAAATATTTTAAAACCTTTTTATTTGAATACGTTTAAAATTTTATTTAATTTTATAATTGTGTTACATTTTGATTTACAAAAATATTTGAAAATCGTTTTGTTTAGAAGTTAAAAATTATGTAAAATTGTTATTCAACTTATTTGAATGGATAAATTTATAAAAAAAATTTTGGTAAATTTTATATTAATGAAATTTATGTAAAAAAAATTATTTTATTTTTTATTTGTATAAGTCGGATTAACATTCATGCAATCTAACCAGTGAATTATTAGTGAGACCAATAACTCAATAATTTGATCGTTTAGCTGAATCAATCTAAATTTTAAAATATTTATAAAGATTAAAGGAGTATTTTTTTATATGTTGAACTTAAATAGTCAAAGATGACAAAAACATAAGATATAACTAGGAATGAGTTTGAATCTAAACTTATTTACATTTTATGATAAAAAGTTCTATTGATAAATTTTTAAACTATTTCTTTTATCAATATAAGGTTTAAGGTGGATTTTGTAATTATTTTTATATTATATATTTAAAATAAGGAATCATACTTTACACATAAGAATTAACTTGTCATGTATAAATTATAGAAATGAATTGCTTATAAGTTGGTTAAAATTTTAACAATTTGAATAAAATATGAATAAAGTGTTTAATTATGACGTGTCTTGACTGTAGTTTTACATGCTAAAATGATTATTTATTTTATATTTTACAATCAATGTATTTAGAGATATATGTTTTCATCAACAAATTGTTTAAGAGAATTTTTAAGATTGTGGAGGTAATGCATCTTCTTGAAATTTGTAGAATAAATTTCTTCTACTTCAATTTTGCATAGGTATCATAAAATTCCTTTTTGATTTAAAAACGTGTAAACCAATTCACATGAAAGAAGAACTATTTGGTTTAATAAAGATTTGAGAGGGGTATTTTAAGATATTCTGGTTGTGGTTGACGAATGTACTTTCTTTGAAGACCTTCGGTAGAGAGTAACTTATTTACCTATTAGGTTTATGGGGTTGAGATTGTTATCGACGTTCATGGTGCATTATGCAATTTAATACTTCCAAGTTCTAATCTTAGATTTTATAAGATCATATAGTTAGATATAATGGATATGCGTGGTATATGAGTTTTGAGTTTAATAGAGCTTTGAATGGTTTTAATGGTGTTGATCAAGTGACTCCAAACACAAGAGGGGAGAGAGGTGAATGGTGATATTCAAAATTCGAAAATAATTTATAAAAACATTTGATTTTGAAAACGTTTATGTTAGTATAAATAAACATATAGAGGAATAACAACATAATAATGGAAAGAAGAGAGAAACACATCAGAAAGAAAATAAAAAATCGAAAGTAAATGAGATAATGGATATAAAGATTGAACCAAAGATTTATATTAGTTCATGCTAAACCATTCAACCCACTTCAACTCTTAAGAGCTCCCCTTTGAGATTTCATCTAAAATCAACTTCGAGCTCCTTTCATTACAACTTGAACTTTTGCAGATGACCAACCCATAAACCTACAACTTGGAATTTTGTATAAGATCAACCCACAAATGTTCTAACAACAACCAGATATTTCATATAGGCTTAACTCAATAATCAATTAAGAGCTTCTAACTAATTAACAACGTGCTTGAAATGGTTTAAAGAGATTTTATTAATAGAGATAAGAGATTTGAAAAGCATTTTATATGTGTGTGCATGCGCATTGTATTAGTACCTCAACACTTACTCTTGTTCCTTTTATAAAACACTGATCAAGAGTGGGAAAATCCTAAGTGCAGGACCATGTAAGCTTTGAAACTTTCAAGCTTCAAGTCTTTGATCATAGCTCCAAGTCTTCAATTCCATTGCTTATTCAACAATATCTAACACTTTCAACTAAAATTTGACATCTTTGACAGATGAGGCTTGTTTAGATGTCATCATCAGGAACACTGGATAATTGCAATCAACTCCCCTTTTGACAATTTTCACTAGGATCTTGAATCATTAACATCAAATGTCGTTTGACTTTTGACGTTGTCGTCTTTTAAACCCCTTGATAATTATCATCATTAAAACTAAATGATTGGTATACTTGCATAACAAATAGATCCATAAGTGGTACAATTTTGACTTATAACCTTAACAGTTTTATTAGCAAATGACATTGTTCACCTAAAGCCTAACCTATTTTGGAGAATGCCATTTTTATTAAAAGTGTTTAAGACATGGGAGTGAAGTTTGCCACAAAAAACAATTTTTGAATATTTGCAAGCATCACATCTTTAAGATTTTTTTTTGGCTATTCCCATTGAGGGGTTAAACCAACACATGTCATCATTTGAGTACCGATGATATCTCCTCGTGAGTCCATTAATTTTTATTGACGAAGTTTGCATTGTTTGCCATAAAGCGTGTCTGGATATCTGAAGAAAAAAAGAATTGTGAACTTCTTAACTGATCTAAAGAAAAAATATTGTCATTTAGAAAAACAAATGTCCATATATAAGAGTGGATAAGAGGAAAACATGCATGTGTAATGAATTTGGCTGAAATTTTCTCACATATAAAATTGATAACTAAATATTTTACTACGAAATAAAATAACCAAATACGAAAAAAGATATAATATGACAATTAACATACTTTTATATCATATGCTTTTATCGTAACACCAAACACAAATAATTTTTTTACAAAGAGTCATAATAATTTGATATCGCTTAAATTTATAAATATAATTTTTAAATTTTTCTATTAAAATTTGAGTTAGATGTGAGACTTATAATTAACTTGCAGTCTATTTCAGTGTAATAAATAAACATCACTTCATTATTTATTATAAAGAAAAAACAAGTAATGAACTTCTTACCTTCCCCACCTACACTACAACTTGCCTAACAATAATTGAATTTTGTCCATTATTGAGCAATTTGGATAAGAAAAAGTACTTGTGTACTTTACGTGGTCAATTGAACTATTGAATTGAAGCATGCTCATACTATTGCTTTCTCTACCTATATTACAACTCATCACTTCAAGAATCTAACTTCATTTCTTTTATAGTGTCATAGCTAAGCGTGCTTAAGGATTAATTAGTGTAAATTTAAAATTTTCAAAAGGAGAACTTTGTTTGCAAGTTTCATGTTTAAATAATAGTCATTAACTGAATTGAATTGCTCAATTTTCGTGGTAATATACTTTTGACAAGATTTCAAGTCTAACTAAAATAAAAGAAAAAAAATAATCAGCTCAACAAATTAAATAGTTTTAAAATAATTGTCATTTTTACAAAGTACTTGTCCTGCATTTATAATGTTTTTATTTTATTTTAATCTTGTAATATTAAAACTGCACTTCATTGAAAAGAGCACAAGGAAGAAAAATACTAAATAACCATGATCATTTAATTGATAATCTTATGAACCTAAAATACAACAAAGAGAGAAAATAAAATTGAAAATTCTATAGCAAGCAGTGGCAGGGCCAATTTTTTTTTTTTGGGATGGCCGATAAAATAAATAAAAATATATATTTATAAAATATATAAATTATATTGTATACAAAACATTTAATGATATGAAAATTCAATAAAACACAATCATCTATTTTTATTTTAGAAGTGAAAGTCGTAGACTATACATTTCACAAATAACCTAATTTAAATATTTTGAGTTCATAGTACAAAAGTATGGCTAAATAGTAGAATATGCAAAAATATTAAATTAAAGATGTGTGGGTGAAATGAAAAAGGGTCTTGTTAAATGTAATTTATAGTGTGTCGAAGTCGAAATAGCAAGAAAGCAGTCGAAGTCTAAGTCAAGTGTCGAAGTGTCG